GTGAGCAATTCACACGCGCTCACCAGCGCTGATTAACACCAGGCATCAGCAAACCAACAAGGTCACAAGAGATGGGAGCACTCAGTCGGCAGATACACTGCAGCTGACCCAAGGCACAGAAGAGCCTTTTCTAGGCTAGGTTTATCTCCTTTGTCCCTAAATACACTAGCTCTGACAAGTTAAAATATATATATATGCAGGTAAAAATAAACGGTTGGAAGATATGAAAATATGAACCGAGTATTCACAGAGTAATAAAAAAAATCAAGTCATTCCTTGTTGACAGATAGTTCAAGATGGGAAGAAGGAAAAGCAGGAAACTTTGCTTCCCTTGAAGTTAACCTATATGTTTCCCCATTATAATGCTGCATGAATATCTGCTAGCAAGTTCAAAACTCAGTCTCTTAAAATAGAATTAGAGGATCCTGATGTGAACTTTCTGAATTACTGGTCATTCATTTACCAGTTGACTGCTCTAATACTATGCCAGCAACACAGGGGACACAGCCACTAATAATTAAGAAACCTTGCTGCTGGGATTAAGAAACCACTTCTCTGCCAGATGAACAAATGTCAGCTTAAAGAGACTGAAATCTAATATACAAAAGAAGTTTTACCTTTTGAAATACCAAGGCATCAGAAAACATGCCTGAAGAACTGAAAACTCCTACAATATCATTAGCTGCAGCCACCACACATTATTATTCCAGGTTTAATGGTGGAATAGGACCAAGACCCTCAAAACTTCAGGAGGTTTTGTGCTGCCAGACATAAAAGATTGTATGCTAGCTCTGAGCTACATGCCATCAGCTCCCAGCAGGAAGTTTTGGATTACTCCGCAGCTGCTGTCAGCACTGCCTAGAAAATATATTTATATATACACACACATGTATATAAACACACAGAAATATATATATAGCTTTGACATCCTGAGTGTTCAACCCTCAATCCTTTTGTGTGAGGAGGAGGGTCTTCTTACTGCTTACTTTCATTGTTGCAGAAAAATACTACTTCAAAAAACTAGCACAAAGCACGTACTTAAATGTTTTTAAGACTAGGCCTCTATCCAGCAAGCTGGCTCTTTAAAATATGCTAAAAGTGTACAGTTACTTCTTTTTGTTCAGTTTATGCATTTTTTTTTTAGTTCCTTTGAATTAACTGATCCAAAGAGAAAACAATAAATGTAATTTGTTGCATCGGAATATAAGAAGTAAATAATTCTATGCACCAACCACAAATACAACAGCAGCCATGCCAAGTCAGACACAAGACTGTCTATCCAAGCCTCTGACAATGGAAAAACAGCCAAAAGCAGATGGCTAGGAAAAGGAGAGCTTTGGAACATGGCAAGCATATGATACTTCTTTCAAGTATTCCCCCATCTGGGGCTTATTTGTTTCCTTGACTTGAATGCAACTTCCAAATAACTTCTCTCATAATCATGAAATTGGAAAACAAGAGATGTTGAACTATTTGCGATGAGCATTTACATAAAAAAACAATCAAGTCTGACAACTTCTGCACACCCATTCTACAGGGCTTGTGGATAAGAACATGAAAGATTTAGACTAGACTAAGCAGCTGATTTTTCCAAGATAAGGAGGGGTGTGAATTTACAGCTAAGACTCCTCCCTAGAATAACTGATTTACACTTCAAATCTAACTTGGTAGAACAGGTCAGGCGTGCACACTGATTTCATTAAAGACAACACAGAAATGCACATTTTAAGCATTGTGGTAAGCAAATTTAGTTCTTCCTAGGAAAATGAGATTTTTCTAAATTCAGAGCAGGAAGTAATGCAAAATCAACAGACTGATTAGTGAAAATGGCACTAATAGCTCAGAAAATCAGCAATTACACTTGTACTAGCATCCATGCATACTTTTGATCCATCACCACTACTGTAGATATTCTCATTGATCACTAAAGTCTAAGTGTGCACAAACACCACTTTGTATTACAAGAATGAAGCCTCATTGTATTGAAGCTTGCATTTTTACAGCCAAATGCCCACCCCATACCAGAAAAACAAATAACCCATACAATCTGAATTGCAAGTAATACATAGGGGACTTCTATGGAGATCAGTCCCAAAAGTAATGCTCATAAGCAACAACAAAAATAAACATACGCTCACACACTAAATATAATATGAATGGAGAAAAATTAAAAAGAAGACAAATTCCAGTTTACCTTGTTTAATTATGTATTGAAATAGTACAGTAGCTACTACCATGCATACCCTAATTTTTCTAGGCCAAATCTTCTGTATTTCTACATCATACATTGTATAAAGTCCTGAGCTGGCACTCAGTATTCAGGTAGGTGGGATGGGTGCAAACTTTGATCCACGTTCTTGTCATTGCTGTGCTAAAGAATTTCAACTCTCTTGGATGATTGTTGCTGGATTTCTCTATATATCTACACATGCATAATTTAAAAAAACAATGTATCAGTATTTGACAACCCTATAACTCCTTCACAATAATTCAGTAGTTAGCAACATCTGGTTAATAAACAGACAAAAAAGCTAAATTTTAAACTTGTCCTTTCTACACATTCCAAGCTTACTTGGTACCCACCTGGTAGAGATAAGACAGTGAGACCACAGAGAGACAAGAGGTGCAAACTAAGGTCTCCAGACACGTTGAGGCCAGCAAAAGCATAAGATCCACACAAAATAAACAAATGAATAATACCGACTTTTGAATCCCCTTGTTTCTTAACACCAGAGTTACAGTGTCAACAAGGTCCCTTACTTCTTCACCAGGACAGCAGAAAGCACATATGTGCCCTGGGAGCTTCTCTTCCAAGAGTAATGAGAGCTGTTAATAAACCAAAACCCACAGGACCCAACCGTCTAGCTCAGTTTTGGCAACTTCCATCATTCTGCAGGAGCACAAATTAACAGGGAGATGGTGCAAGAGCCCTTGTGTGCCCCCAAAACACGAGAGAGGGGACAGCCAGGCTCAGGGCTAACTCCAGCAACAGAGGAGAATGAGGAAGATGTGTTATGCCACCCTGGTACAATACAGCAACACTTTTCAACTGTTGCAAACAGAGTTTCAGCAACTCGGCTCCAGAAGTGCTGCTGAGCAGCAGGAACCTCTATTGCAGAGCTGTGCATTGGCAGGGGCCCTGCTCCAGGGTGCAGAGGGAATTGTGGCCACTGGGGAAGCGATTGCTGAGCTCTGAACACTTGCACTGTCCTGAGACAGGTATCACCTGTGTGCTTCATCTGGCACATGGAGATTCCTCCTCTGGAGCTTTCCAGATTCCACACACAACTGGAACCTGGTTCCTCAATTAACACTAAATAAAATACCACAATAAGAATAAATGACTGACAAAAAGGGCTCTGAAACCAGCAGACAAGCCTTGCAGGGACTTATTTTATTACGTATGATTAAAAAAAATAGAAGAGTGTCATGAAAATTACTAAGGAACAATGTCACCAAGACAGATGGTTTTTCTGCTGAAATAAAGCCCACTGCTAATCACCCACAGGAGTCTGGCTTACAAGAAACAAGCAGCAACTGCCCACAAGAGACTCCCCATAGTACAACACAATAACTGCAAAATTGAAGTAGATTTAAAAAAAAAATACTGCAAATGACATAGAAAGTATATTTAAAACAGAGCTACTGGTAGAGAGCTTTCATGATAGTAGCAGATTACCAAATTCTAGAAAAAGCTTTTAAACACCTCCTTCCCACAATTCCCAGAAGTGTTTCTGTGTAACTTTTTGGCAGTTTCGTTTCTCCCCTTCCTTCTTCTCAATTTCTGACACAGGAAAAGCTATTTTGGACTAGATTGTGACATGAAGTGACACAGCAAACGAACTTCCCTCCGAAATTTCATCAAGAGGAAACTGGAATATTGCACGATGCTGCAGCTCCTCAAGTTTCACAAGGACATATAACTTGCACTCTTCATGTTGTCACTAAATAGTTTTAAAAACTCCAGCTAAACATGAAATAAACTACAAAAACAATGGAACAAGATTTTATTTGCAAAGAACAATTTAAAGGCAAGAGCGTCCATTGACTTAATTTTGCAGAACACTCTGCTCCTTTACATGACAGAGGAGAGCTTCCTGACTTAATAATCAAGAGCAAGACATTCACATGACTAAGACGACAAACCGCTTCTCCGGCCCATGCTCTCCCACCTCCTCCAGCCCAGGGCTCCAAACCGCAGCCCACGCTCGGTCCTGCATCGCAGAGATGCTGTGGCACAGCCAGCCCCTTGCTGCTGTCCCAGACAGGAGCTGCGGGCAGCCCATGCTCTGCGCAGCAATTCCTTGCAGCTGCGGGGAAGGGGAACGCCACGTCTGAAGGGCTGGCAGGCAGCACGCCTTGGGAAGTGACACCAGCTGATATCAAACTCAACAGTACACAGCGAGAGGGGATGAACTCAGCAAGAAAGGGAAGGGAGAAACTGCAACCTCTCCAATTCCTGACTGAACTTGTGGCCAGTAGCCATCTACTCGGGTAAAAGAAAGCAACCAGGCACCGCAATCTTCCCTGTACATCCACATTTTGCAAAGAAAAAACACCAGAGATGAACAGTTGTAAGACCCCTTATATATAGCCCGTCAAAACTGTGTCTCTTTTCAGACTCTGTCCTACTACCGAACCCTATGATTCAGGCGGCTGACTTCACCGCAGAGCCGAAACAAGGCGATAAGCAGCGGGGCAGGGCTCCCGGCGCCGGCCGCCGCCTCCGGGGCACCGCGGGATCACGTCTCCATCTCCTGCCCCCGCTTCTCGCAAAGCGAAGCTGTCCCGAGCGGGGACACCCACCCCGCAGCTCGTACACCAGGGCCGAGCCAAAACCAGGGAAAAAGAAGCCCTACGCATCCCAAGGCACGGGGGGCGCCGCGGGCAGCGCCGCTCTCCCCGGGGCCGGAGGAGAGGGGCAGCCCGCCAGCAGACACCCCGCGGGCTCCGGGGAGCGCCGTGCCGTCCCCCATGCCCTCCGTGCCGCGGTGCCTCACCTGCGGTGTCCCAGATGGAGATGTTGTACGGCCCCCACTGCTTCAGGTAGAAGGCGCCGCCGACGGTGCTGACCGTCTCCTGGAAGCGCCGCTCCATGTAGCGGTGCAGCAGGGAGGTCTTGCCCACGTTCATGTCCCCCAGCAGCACCACCTTCCCGTCCGGCTTCTTCATCGCGGCTCGGCCCGGTTCGGTTCCCTGCCGGCGGCCGCTGCCGCCCCCTTGCCCGGCCCGGCCCGCTCCGCCCGGCGGGGCCCCGGAAGCGGCGGGACGAGGGCCCGAAGCCGCCTCCGCCGGCAGCGAAAACTTCGGGGGCTCCGCGGGAGCCGCCGCGATCCGGCCCCGGCTCCGGCTGCTGCTCCTCCCCCGGCCCGGCCCCGCTCCCGCCCCGCCAGGGGGAGGGGACGCGGGCGGGGAAGCGGCCGGAGCTCCGCGGCCCCTCCGCCCCTGCCCTGCCGGGAGCGTCCGGGTGCGCTGTCCCTGCCCCGGGGCAGGCTGCCCGCTGCCCGGTTCTGTCGGGGGTGTCGGGACCGAGCTCGGTCTCGCTGAGCCTTCGGGGGATGCCGCTGCGTCCCGGGATGGTCGCGTCCTTTCAGCTGGAGATGGCACAGACACCACCTCCGCAGCCCTCCCGGAGCACAAGGCAAAGCCCGCTCATCCCGCCCCCCTTCTGGGGTGTACATGGAGGGGCAGAAAGTTGCTCCGAAATTAAGATCTCTCTGAGAGCTGTGACAGCTGCCAGGCAAACACCTTTGCCCTGGTGAGAGGGAGGTGTCAGCGATTATTTTCCGAGGGCAGGTCTACCCAATTTCACAGTCCATTGCCCAGCTGCTGTAATTCAGATTAATTCCATTACAGAGATCTAGCCTATCCTTTTTGCATCAGTCCTCTTTATGCCAAACAAATCTGGGAAAAAATATTAATAAAATATAAACTTGCTACAAATTTTGGGTCCAATAAAGGGACAATTTGTAGACCAACTGGGGGGAGGAAGCAACTGTTATAGTATTCTTAAGAGAACCTACCATTTACTAATTTTCTTTCCCACCCCACAGAAAAGTCTTCAAATAGAAGTACTTTTCTTAATAAGTGAATGTGCATCCTCATTCTCGCATGTCTCATGTTGAAAGTGCTAGAATTTCTTTAGCCAGTCCAGGCTTCATATTTATGAGATGCTTTGATTTTTGCCTACCTGCTAAAAAGGATTAGCTGTGTGACAGTCTGGTTTTTTTAAGCCTTGCCTACTTACTTTTGCTTATTCTGCTTTTACTGACCAGATTTGTAATCTTGCAGCTGTAGCCAGTGATATGTAATTTCAGTTCAGAATAAGATATGCTCCAGATATTAAAGTACTGGAGATACCCAAAGAGAGGGGATGTTAAATGGTTAGGTAAAAAAAAGTCTTACAAGTGACTTCAAGATATTAATGTGGGATGTGATTCAGAGCTGTGTGCAAAACTAATTAAGGGAGAGGGGGGAATTGTTACACTTGGGTGATTGTGTGGCACTATTTTTATGTGGCATATGCAGCCTTTGCCTCAGATTCTCATTTTCTGCCTGGATTCCTACCTCACTCCAAGAATTGGGAAAAATACACTCATTGGATCAAAGTGCTTCTCTGACATACCTCTAAGCAAGTCGGTTGCTTCTGGGTGCTTGGTATGAAAGTGTAAAAATAACAAAATTCTCTTTGTATGGATACTGCTTGCAAATTCCCATGTGCAATATGTTTCACCCTTTTGAAGCCGCAGATGCCATTTCAGAGAGAGAAAAGAAGCATCTTGTATCAAAGAGTTTAGACCATAAGGATCTGCACCTGTAAAAGATTCCTGGGTTTATGTACTCTTGCCATATGAACTGTCCACAGAATAACAAAATACCTAAAAGCTTAAACACAGTTATTGATTTGCAACAGTGCTTCTGCTACCAAATCCTAGCAATTAAAGCACTTAAACCAATTATTTCTGAATTTTACCAAAATTCTGCTCTATTTGAATTATTTTCAAGTACTAGTGAAATGTAGGTCTTTCTGGTATTTAAAACAAGTATCAATAGTTTCTAAAAGCAAACAGAGAACTTAGGACAGAAAACACTCTGAATAATAGGGACAGAAAACACTCTGAATAATAGGGTGAAAATGCAACTGGGATTTTAGGCTCTGTTAATAACATGCTCCATAAAAAGAGAAGTCCATTCCCTTCACAGATGTTTTCCACAGTTTCTGGAAACACATCCCCATACCTACATCCCCACATATTTGAGTGGGTGTATTTCCAGCTAGCAGCAGTCAGAGAGTCAGGGGACTCTCCTGAAAGTGTCACCAGCCAAATGTCACTGATAGCAATGCATCACTTTTGTATGTTAAACATAGCCTAGCTCAATGAGGCACCAAATTAATCTGGTCCAGTACTGGTTTGGAGCTGGTGCCACAACTAACAACTCTCTAATGCACAAGGGATGTGCATTATCCCACCAGTATTCACCTCCCATTCACTGCTTACTTAAAGGGCCATCTCTGTTTCACAGCTATCTGTCCCTGATAATCAGGTGCAACAGGATTGGAGGGTGCCGCGTGTTGTTTCAGATCCTTGGGAGAATTTAGGACAGTGGTGCTCTGAACAGGGTCAAGGGATGTCAAAGGGCCCCTGAGGTGAGCCCTTAAAGAGTCAAGTTTGTGAAGTCCTGAGCAGCCTGAGCTCCTACTGACCTCAGGAAAGCATGCTCACTGGGCAGAGCACAGCGTGTTGTGTTATTACTGCCGACACCGCCTTGGATGAATGCACTCCGAACCTCAGCATGCAATTTAAGTCACCTCTGGTTAAAGTCAAATGGCTCACGATAGTCTGTAATGCAATATAAATAATAACAGAGCATATGTGAAAATATTTGAGAAAACATTAAGAGCCTGTAATTTGCTCTCTAGCACTCAGATGTATTGGCCTGTTGCAAGATAATTTCCTCAAATCACTGAGTCGTCTGTAGCAAGACGTCTCCACAGCAGTCAGTATGGGCATGAAGAATTGCTTGATAGGAAGGAGTATGGAATACTTTACTCTCTAGGTAGTGCAAGTATGTGGACTACATACATTGGCTGGTGTTTTTCATTTTAGAGCATCTGAGGACACCTTTAATTACAATGAGGTAGTTCATTAGCCTTCCTGACAGTGTGACAATGTACTCACCATGGTGGGTCTCCGGATGTTCTGAAATTCAGACACTTGGATTAGGGTACCAAGAGGGACAACACATTAAAGTTTCTTTCCCACTTTTGTGCTAGAGTAAGACCTTCCCAAGAGTAAGAATGTTAGCCTTGTACACAAGCCAAAAACCTGAGCCAATAATGATTGTACTGACGTCAGGGTAACTTAACCTTTTTAGTCTCCAGCAGTATGAAAGCTGCTTAGTATTGCAGGAGAAAATTAGAGCCTGTTTATTTTTTTCCTTGCCAGCCCTCCCTATATATATATATTGTCCTGCCTATGGTTCTTATTTGGTCTTCAGGCTAACAATATTTTGTAAGTTCACATGAGGTGAAATGTTTGTCACAGAACAAGGTTGTTTTTTGCTGAGCTGATCTTATTTTGGAGACAAATTGAGCAAGTGGTTGAAAGGATGTGTCATGTCAGCTACTAACTGCTGCCCCCAACATGTCACAGGCGTGCTGCAGACTTGGTGTTCAGCACCTCAACCTGCCTCCTTTTTGTCTTCTGTCAGTGTCTTTGTGTTTTGGGATGTTGAATCTCCATGACCTGATGTGTGCTTTCTGGAAGTACCACAGGTGACCTCAATGGGACTGTTTGTAATGATAAAGGTAGTACAATCTCATCCTACTTTTAGAACATGGAAGAATCCATAATTTAGAGCCATCTCTATCTCAGTTACCTACTGAATCTAGACAAGGTTTTACAAATCCTGGACAAGGCTTTACAAATCCTAGACAAGGCTTTACAAACCAAAGAGAAGGACAATAAGGGAGGCTTATTCCTTGTCCTTAATACGTGCTGGCACACCAGTGCTTTGTTGTACCTCTTCATGAAGCATGAGGTCAGAGGTCACTGCAGAAGCTACAAACAGGTACCATTTGGTGAACCACAGCAATTTCTGGTTTTGTTTCTGCTTATTGCCTTCCTTTATGACTTCTTTCTTCTAATGAGCAATGAGTTTACTCTGTTTAATGAGTATGCATGCTCATGAAACAGAAATATTTGCCCTCATCATCTTCCAGACAGCTGTAACTAGAGCTCACTCTCAAGGTGTTTTCTTTCAGGCTAGGAAGCCTGAAATATGTAGACAGAGCAGTGGCAACGTGATGAGTAGCCATGCAGCCTGTAAAAGCTACTCTTCATGTTGCCACTGCTCTGCCTACATATTCATCCAAACATATACTAGGCTCTTCCTCTCCACCCCACAGGTTAGTCGTCCATCTAGATGCCTGTACTGCCCTAATCAAGGGAAATTGCCTGTACTGCTTATCAAAAGCTGGTCTGCCCTTCTCTAGGGTTGCACTTCTACACCTTTCTTCTTCTCCTTTTCCTGGCATTTTTTGTAGGCTGACATTCGCCTTGGCTTCACTATTCCCTATGACAACTGAGCCTGATAAGCTGATGAAAAACTAGCTCAACAGTGACTGTGAGTAATTTTCTGCTGATTTTGTGGTTAGCACAGAGGAGGCTGATGAGGCAGCCCATGGTTGGAGGCACTGACCTTCAGTCCCCTGGGTCTTCAGCTAAGCAGTGCTGGCTTCTCACAGACCTTTATCTTCCCTTGGTAAGTGTCCCTGCTGTGCCTCATCTTCAAACCTTGCAGGTTTTGGAACATCTCAGTTGTATGACTGTTTTCTTTCACCAGAATTGGAAAAGTATTTCACTATATAACTCCTGCCTGGTTGGTATCTGAATCACTCCACACTGACAGTGAGATGGTAAACCAACCAGCTCAAGACATCCTTATCACAGAAAAGCCTGACCTGGATGATTAGAATTTGCCTGTGTTACATCAGTTGAACATCAGGTCTTAGATGGAAACCATGAAGCAACCTGAGCTATAGATATACTCAGCTATAGATATACTCAGCCAGTGAGTGAGCAAGAACCTGATGCACAGGTGCTAGAGACGCAGATGAAAACTCAATAAATGGCATAGAAACACAGGACTGGAAATTCAATCAAAAAGTAAGCATTGTGATTCAAAGTGATCACAATGCAAGAAGATCTGGTAAATGCACTAAATATGAGTTTTGCATTGATTGTTTTTTTTTGAACTGCAGTATTTTAAGG